ATAGCTCTAATACTGGAGTATCGTGTGTACTGTATTTTTCTGAAAAATTTAACTGATTATAATTTCATTCGTTAATTTTTATCTTTTTTTCTTCACCTTATTTCACCTTGGTTATAGCTCTAATACTGGAATATCTTGTATTTTTCTGAAAAATTGATCTTGAAATTTCGTTTAGTAGCTACACGTGAAGGAAATTCGCTAACGACTCAAGGTGATCTACTCCCATAATGACACTCTCAACTGTACGCAGTTGAATCTTTACAATTTTCCGACCACAAGATTTCATAAAATTTCCAAAAATAATAAATTCGCGACTGCCAAAGTAACTTTCAAACTTCGCGCTTTAAAACTGTTATATACTAACTAATGATCGTTATATTAACGATCCTACGAGGTTATTACATCAGTTCGAGTTATAGACAAATTTTCGTTGTCATCGTCGCACAGTTATGCTCTTCACTGTATACGCCAGTCGCGGATCGACTGTTCGACTGGAAGGTCGACGTTTACAGAGATGTTTACTATTCGTCGCATCTGCCGTTTCGTTCCCCGATCGTCGGATACCGATCGAGGAGTCCCAGGTGCTGGCAATTAAAATGGAAAGTGGAGCGGGCTGGATAAAATCAGTCGGCCGAGGAAACACACCACGAGGGAGCTGACAACGTTGCGTGGATCGATCTCCTTTCGGTTTTGCCAGTGTGTGACGTTCTCGCCGAGGAAAGACGTGACGCGCCGGAACCGGGCGTAACACGGTTCGACGCCTCGTCCCACGATCTTTGCCACCGATCTGACATTTATCGTAAGTTGGCGTATGCCTCGGTTGCTCTCGTTGCGTCAGAATTCAGATGAAAAACTCGACGAATTGACGAATTTTGGTAGTAGGTTATAACGAGAGTTCCTTGCGATTTGGGAGAAATCTGAAGAACGAGATTGAATATAAATGAATATTTGGTCCGTGGCGTGTTCTTGGAATGGAATTTTCATTCATTTCCATCGTTTAAATAACGCTCGTTACACATTGTTAGTACCGCCTTGAAATTTTTATAATCGTACCGTGAAAACTGAGTAAACAAATAATTTGCTAACAGATAAAGCCCGAAACGAATCTCAAGATTTCCAGGCTGGCCAAGATTCCAAAAGGAAAATACGCGATTAAAAATTTCGGTGGCCGAGGGGATCAGGTTTTCCATCCACTTTACGACAAACGAGATAATAGAGTGCCAAAAGTAACAACAGCGTTGAGCGTGTTGGGCTGCGTCGAAAGAACAACATCCCACATTCTTTTTGTTCTCCAGCTGCCATTTCCATCCTCCGCAGCCGTGGCAGGAGCAAAGGTCTCTTGAATATGATTGTAAAGGTACGGAGCGACCTAAATGTACGGCCACGCCGACATCTTGGCGCGTGTAATTGAAGAAACAGGACACGTTATGCAAGTTCGATGACATTGCCACCTCACCTACAACCTTTCTCTCTTTCCTCGACTTTCCTGCCTTCTACATGCTCTGTTTCTACCATTCCACCTTCTTTCTCTCTCCCTTTTTTCTTTTTAATCTTCCCGCCGACGCCTCGTCTTCTTTCTTTTCCTTTAACTCTTTCTCATTTCGCGCACCTCTCTGACTCAACTTATTATAGACACTCGCTTTTATATTCGTCCTCTCTTTTCGATAAAATGTGGAACAGTGAATGAAAGAAGGTATGAAATTCGCATTTATTTATGTGTGCGTATGAAGTATTAAAAAAATCGGCGACGAAAGTTTAGCATCGCTAAGTATTCTACTTACCTTAAGAGAAAAAGGAAGATAATACGAGAACGATTTTTGTATTATTTTGTTTGATAGAAAGAAATTTCTCGTAGCGTGCTATTTTCTTGTTCCGGGATATATCACATGACTCTGTTGTGTCAATGTTTCAAGCGTTTTATTTAATAAATATTTAAATCGTTTACAAGTGTCTTAAATACGAAACATAGGGAGTGAATTCTCTTTGCCAGTCAGATTTATTTCTCTTATTTGTTGCCTTTATATTACTTTGAAATTCATTTTAAATCGTTTTGTCAGCGAGGAAATATTTACGAATCAGGAAAAATAGAATACCAATAGATTATAGCGAACGATATTTTATTGTATCATGTATAATTAAATCACAATTGACACTGTGAGATAACGAATTGATGAATTTAGAATTAATTAGAAGAAACGCAGTTTCTTAATTTGACTCGGTCAAACTTTACATTCAAAATTGTCACTATTAAAACTCCAGACATTTCATACGTCACAATTTTCCAAGCACGTTTCATTCTAAACAAAACGTTTGCACGTTTTTTATTCTATACTCGCCCAGTTTACGAATAATTATACACGTTGCTGTCCTAAATATTCTCGGTGTGAACCAAACTCGCGACAATAAATTAACAAATAGACCAGCAGCCTCGAAATACTTCGCCAACCCACGTGCATGCGTTTTATTTCATTTCAAAAATCTTCTGAAATTCACTCTCAACCTCCTCTCCTTCCTAACTGTCGTCAGGAACTTCGACGAACGTCAGATCCGACCCGGATAAAGTCCAGTCCGAAGAAAGACTTTAATACATCTCGACGTTCCCTCTGCTTGTTGATAAAATCTAAAGCCTAATTTGCGAGCGTCACAGTTCTCGATCGTTCGATTCTAATTTTCCATTCCTCGCGACGTGACTTTTCAATGGCCCCGCGGCTCTTTCGTTCCTCCTTGTCCGTCTCGGCGTCGGGAAGCCACTTTCCTCTTGCGTAATCCCGTTTTCTGTCTTTCCACGTCCCTTTCGATCCCCCTAGCTCCACCACTTCCCTCGATCTTCGATCGTCCGTCGGCCAGTTTCATCGCGGAACACCTTTACGAGCATCAGCACGGATCTCTAGTCTCCCTCCTGGGAATCGATTGCGATTTCACATACGTACGTACGTACTTGCGCTGACCAACGGGTACGGTCATCGATCGGAATCTCGATTAGGTGCATCCGTGTTGCGCGCGATATTGCACCATCGATATGGATGACGTTTCTTGACAAACTACTAGTATGAAGCTGGAACTATCGAAAGATCGATAAATTAATTGATCCAAAATTACCAGTTTTTATTATTATTATTTTTTTTATTTTTAGTAGAAACTTTATATAAATCTGAGACACTGGGCAGTTTTAGAAATCTTAGTGGTGTTTGATAAAATTTACAAAGTGGTTTGAATATCTAGAATATTTGTGAGTATCTCAATTTTGAATATTTATAGATAATTACTTGACAAACTACTAGTATGCAGCTGGAACTATCGAAAGATCGTTTGGTCCAAAATTACCAGTTTTTATTTTTTTTTTATAAAAACTTTATATAGATTTGCAACACTGGATAGTTTTAGAAATCTCAGTGGTGTTTAATAAAATTTACAGAGTGGTCTAATAAGAATTAGCAACTCTAAATATCTAGAATATTTGTTAGTATCTCACTTCTGACTATTTCTAGATAATTACTTGATAGACTACTAGCAGTTAGAACTATCGAAAGTTCGTTTGATCCAAAATTATCAGTTTTAATTTTTTTTTTTATAGAAACTTTATATAGATTTGCGACACTGGGCAGTTTTAGAAATCTTAGTGGTGTTTAATAAAATTTACAGAGTGGTCTAATAAGAATTAGCAACTCTAAATATCTAGAATATTTGTGAGTATCTCACTTCTGACTATTTCTAGATAATTACTTGATAGACTACTAGCAGTTAGAACTATCGAAAGTTTGTTTGATCCAAAATTATCAGTTTTTATTTTTTTTTATAGAAACTTTATATAGATTTGCGACACTGGGTAGTTTTAGAGATCTTAGTGGTGTTTGATAAAATTTACAAAGCGGTCTGAATATCTAGAATATTTGTGAATATCTCAATTTTGAATATTTCTAGATAATTACTTGACAAACTACTAGTATGCAGCTGGAACTATCGAAATATCGTTTGGTCCAAAATTACCAGTTTTTATTTTTTTTTAATAGAAACTTTATATAGATTTGCGACACTGGGTAGTTTTAGAAATCTCAGTGGTGTTTAATAAAATTTACAGAGTGGTATAATAAGAATTAGCTATTCTAAATATCTAGAATATTTGTGAGTATCTCACTTCTGAATATTTCTAGATAATTAGAATGTTGTTCTAGGTTCTGAATATCTCCATCGTTTTTAGAGATATAAAGAAACTCTATTAACGAAAGTTGTTCAATATAAAGGGGGCTGTAGTATGGAAGTAACAATTTTTTTTTTTTTCTGTAACTGAAAATTCCAAGAGTATCT